ATATATATATTATATATATATATATAATATATAATATATATATAATATATATATTATATGGTTATCTATGAATATGAAACAAGAAAAAAAACTACAGTAGAAACTTGTGCACACAGACGAATATGGCAATATACAGACGAAAAATACAGATTCCTCTATCGTTCACCTACATATACACTATATACACAGACAACCACGAGATAAAACAACAAACACAAAGATGAAAAATAACAAACAAACAGAAGAGCGCAGAGAGAAAACAGAAAAAAAGAAAAAAGTGATTAAGCTGCCAATAGTGCTTGTCAAACGCAACACCAAGTCTTGTCACATGTCAGCCTCTCTACGAAACGACGAGAGAGAGGGAGGAGGAGGAGGAGAAGGAGGAAGAGGAAGGAGGAGGGGAGAGGAGGAGGCGGGAGGAGGAGAGAAGAAGGGGAGGAAGGAGGAGGAAGGGGAGGAGGAGGAAAGAAGAGGAGAAGAGGTAGGAGGAGGAGGAGGAAGGAGAGAGAAGAGACGAAGAAGAAGAAGGAGGAGGAGGAGGAGGAGGAAGAGAGAGAAGAGAAGAGGAGACTTGGCAACTTATGCAACTGAACAGACTGCATACCAACTAAGCTGAGGCGCACTCCACGCGGGTTTTAAGAGCCATTGAGTGGAAAAGCAATGCCGGTTTTATTCATGTTGTTGTGGTTATAAAGGGAAAAGTAGGATTCCGGATTTTAGTCATTTTTTTGGCGCTTGTTTTCTTGTTTTTTTAAATTTCTTATTCTTTGTAGGTATATTTTTTTTTATTTTTTGTTTTTTTATTTTATTTGTTCTTGTGTTTTTTTTTTTTTTCTATATCTTTGTAAGTATATTTTTTTTGGGTTGGGATGAATGGGATCAAATGTTATGTGATGGATTTGTGGTTTTATTGGTTATTGGATTTTAATCGCCGTCTGGTGTGGTATGGAAGTATGTTAGGATATACATATAATTTCAGGTGTTTATTGTTGAAGACACAGTTGCATACACTCTTCAGATTTTGTGTGTTTAGTTAGTCACATTTGAAGGAAATTTATAATCTCTTCGGTCTCTTCTCTTCTCGCTTCTCTGTCTCTCTCTCTCTCCTCTTCTCCGCATCTTCTCTTCTCTCTCGTCTCTCAGTATTTCTTTTTCTTTATCCAATTCTATTCATCCCCGCCCCCACTCTCTCGTCGTAACTCTCACTCGTCTCTACTCTCAATTTCTAGCGTCTCTATCTTCCTTCTCCTTCCTTCACTCCCATGTTTCTTACATCTATCTCTCTCTTTTCTTCGCTTTCTCTTCTGTCTGTCTCTGTCTCTCCCTCCCTCTCCTCCTTCTCTCTGCGCTCTTTCTCTCTCTCTCCTCGTTTGGTTTCCTTTTCTATCTCTCTCGTTCTCTCTTCCTGCTCTCTCTCTCGTCTTCTCTCCGTTCGTTCTGACTCTCTGCACTCTCATCTCTATCTCCGCCTCGTGTCTCTGAACAGACACTTGGTCAACAACCCTGGCTAAATTGTTTCCGGATTATTTCTGAAAGCGTTGAGAACTCTTATGTCTGCTTCTGACTTTGTCCTTGTGTGATCAGCTGTGCGTCTGTGCAGCTGAGATGATTGATTTTTTTTTTTTTTTTTTTATGAGAGGGGTGTTTTTTTTGGTAACATTCGTGGAATATCTGAGGACTCTTTCTTCTCTGCTTCTTCTTCTTTTTTCTTCTTTTTTTTCTTCTTCCTCTTTTCGGGTCTCTCAATCTGCGCTCTCGTCCGGGCTTTCTTCTCTCATCTCTTATTATCCATTCTACATTATTGATCTATTATTATATATTGGTCCTATCATTATTGTTATCATTATTATTGGTCTTTTTGCCATTACTATTATTGTCTACTATGTTTGTTGTTATCAGGTACTCTTTTTTTTAATCACTATTTGAATAGTTATCATCATTACGTTACTTTTATTCTCATTATTGTTATTTTACGGATATTATCACTATTATTATTATCATTATTGTTATTATTATTATTATTTGGTTATATTATTATTATTTATTATATTGGGATTTATTATTTTATCTATTATCATTAATATTGTGTATTATTATTCTTATCTATTCATCTATTTCATTATTATATCTATTTATTTCATTATCCTCATTCATTAGAGTTATTATTATTAATTATTTATCATTATCAATTTTGGCCCCCTATAAAATTTGCCGTTTCAATTTATTATTAGATATTTTTAATAAAATGTCACTTATTACTTGCAATATTCTGTTATCATCAAGGTTCATTTAAGCTATAATTATCATTATTCTTATCGTGTCCAGTATCGCAAATCATCATCATGACCACTATCACGATCTTTTTATTATGCATTTATTGAATGAACAGTCATCACTATCCTAAATTGCAGGTTTTATATTTTCATAAATCCGGTAACTTCCTTATTCTCTCTCTCTCTCGGTGTCTCTGTCTCCTCTGCTCTTCTCGTCTCTCTCTGTCTTCTCTTCCTCTCTCTTTTTCTCTTCTTTCTCTCTCTCTCTATCTCTCTCTCTCTTCTTTGATCTTCTCGTCTGTCTTGCTCTCTCTCTCTCTTCTCTCTCTCGGTTCTCTCTCTCTCTCTCTTGTCTCTCTCTTTTATTATTTATTCACTATTTATTTTATTTCACATGTAGTGATATATTTCTCCTCATCATTATTGTTTCATTATTTTGTCGTTTGCCAATTCTATTATTTGTCTCTATGTCTTGTTTTGTTATCATTATCTTTATTTTTTGTTTTATCATTATTTGAATATGTTAATCATAGTTACTCGGTTACTATCTGAATTATTGTTATTCACGGATATTATCACTATTAAACATTATCGACTTAATTGTTATCATTATTATTATATTGTTAATCATTGATTTTATTATTATTATCATTTATGTATTATATTAAAATATTATTAGGTTATCTTACTGGTTTATCATTAATCATTATTATTATATCATTATTATATTATCCTGCTTCATTAGTTGAATTATTAAATTATTTATTGTTGATTATATGGTCCATCATTGCTGGATTGTTGTCATGGTATATCGGTAATTTCATGTTTACATACTGTTCACCAGACTTCTGGCATACTCTGTTTATTTTTTCAGTATAGCATTATGTTTTATTATCATCATTATGTTTTATCGTGTTCAGCATCGCATATAATCATCTTATACTATCCTATTCCGATCTTTATATCATCATTAATGATCCCATTATCACATCCGGTTAAGGTTGCGCATTTCTATATTTTATATAATATCCGCCGCCCTTAACTTCCTTCTCTCGCTTCTTTCTCTCTTGCTCTCTCTCTTTCTGTCTCTCTCGTGTCTCTCTCTGTCCTGGTCTGTCTGTCTGCTTGTGGTCTGTCTGTCTGTCTGCTCTCTCTCTTGTCTGTCTCTCTCTCTCTCTCTCTCTCCTGTCTCTGTCTGTCGTGTCTGTCTGTCTGTCTGTCTGTCTGTTGTCTGTCTGTCTGTTCTCTCTCTCTCTCTCTCTCTCTCTCCTCCTCTTATCACCTTATACTATTGTATCAAGCAGACTGTAAGTCCGCAGTCAGTAGAAAAGGCTTCTTGGTCTCATTCCGAAAAAAAATATATAGTGGAGAGATAATTACTGAGGAATTTTCCTCAAAGATTTCTTCTCTTACGGCAGCCTTGAATTTAAGAAATTAAAACAGAACAAACCAAAAAAAACAAAAAAAAAATCAGACAAAAACAACACTGGATAACGGCTTGTCGGCTTCAAGCCAAGATCGGGACAGGTTCATGCTTATTGGTGATACTCGTTGTGTGATAATATAACAACAGGGGTTTTGAATTTGCTTGGGTCTTGTAATAGGTTGACTTTTCTGTATATGTGAACAATGCATACACACCACACACACAAATATAGTTAAGCAAGCATGAACACAATACGCGCAGTATACATAATAGTTCACTTCAAACCACAGACACAATAGCATAGACACACACACACACTACACACACGACACCACACACAGCTCACACACAACACACACACAAATACTCTCCGAATGGCAATTCACATACAACCTCCCCTGTTTATAAAAATACACTCAACACATCTTCCATTGTAAGAAATACATGTACATAGCGTCACAAAAAGAACATATTTGACTCAGACAGCTAAAAGGTGAGCGGAAAACATTACACACCACACACACAAGAACAAAACCAAACAACAAACACGTAACAAAGAACGCACAACACAACATAACGCCCCATCTCTCCATCACACACATCACAACTTCTCCTTTGGGTAATCTTTACAGCACATAATACACACAGGTTGCACATGGGTTCTGTTCTTTACACGCTACCTCCCTTGCGTGTAGCATACCACATCAACAACACGAAAACCGCCCTCCCCTCCTCCACACACATACAAACACGGGCATCAGATTTAGTTTGTGTTGGTCACATACATAACCCATACCCTTCAAACATCATGATTTACCACAAGCAACACCCTTGTTCCTTTGCTAAACACACACCACACACGAACCTAGCCCCTCT